ATAAGCCCAAAAAATTCATATATTTACCAGTATTCGTGTTGAAATATTTCATTTAATTAATAGGTCCAAGCAACTTGTGGATATGACAGTGGTAGGAAATCGAAGGGGGACTTTTTTTTGCGACCTAGGTGTCCCAAATTCCTACTTTTTCTATGTAACATTGATAAATAATAATTATCTTTGTTATCATTTCTGTTATGTACAAAATTTAGTTACATTAGATAAATGCAATTTTCCACAAATAATGTCTAGAATTACGAAGTAAATTCTAGACATTCTAGAATTTACTAAGTAAATTCTAGAATCTTACTCCACTAGAATTTACAAAATAAATTCTGGTGAAGTAAAAAATGGTATTAAATTAACAAATTAACATAAAAAACTAATTATTCTCTTATTATTGTTAAAAAATTTTATTAAGCCCTACGTGTTGGGTTATTTTTTTATTACTCATATAATAAAAAATTCACTCATACTAATTATATTCTATATTTTACAGAAAATCAGTTTTTATCTATACCTTGTTATGAAACTTTTCTTTGATAACTACAACTCATATATATAATACGAGATATAAAAATATCATGGATAAAAGGCCCCTTAAAATATGGATACAGGGGTCCTAAAATGTGGATAAAAGGCCTAAATTATGCATAAAGCCCCCAGAATTTTGATAAAGGCCCTTAAATCAAAAATGTGCATAAAATATCCCAAACCCCTCGATAAAAGGTCTTAAAATTTGGATTAAAAAGTTCCTAAAATGGCATAAAGACTCTAAAATGTGGACAAAAGGCAAAAAATTGGGTAAATGGCCCTAAAAATCAGAAACTTTTTGCTTGAAGATTCCGAAGGATCTTTAATCTGCCAACTACATCAAAGCTACATTAAAAAAAATTTGCATTTCTATAAACTATGTCATTGTAAATTGTACTTTGTAGAAATAAAATATATGTAAAAAATCGTGGATTTAATGGAAATAAGCCACTTTGACTTTCTTGGGTTATCTTGGTAATTTTTTCATAATGTGCTAGGTATCATAATTTATGTAACTTTATATAGGGGTACCTGGAGTACACATTTCTTGTATTATAAAAACTTACTGACTTACTGGCTCATTGACTTACTGACTTACTGACTTACTGACTTATTGACTCATTGACTTACTGACTTACTCATTGACTTACTGACTTCTGACTCATTGATTTACTGACTTACTGACTTATTGACTTACCGACTTACTGACTCATTTACTTACTGACTTACTGACTAATTGACTTACTGACTTACTGATTACTGACTTATTGACTTACTGACATACTGACTTATGACTTAATTGGGCTTACTGACTTATTCACTTACTGACTTACTGACATATTATATTTTCTTATTGACTTACTGACTTACTTATTGACTTACTGACTTACTAACTTATTGACTTATGACTTAATGCAAAATTCTTTACTTACTGACTTATTGACCTTACCGACTTTCTAACTTACGGAAGGGGTTCTTACGGTATCATTGGTGTCGGCCCTAACGACTTAAGGGTTCATTACGGTATTAAATGGGGGGCGGACCTAAAAAACTTATGGGTTCATTACGGTATCAGTGGTGGCGGACCTAACAACTTAGGGTTCATTACGGGGTGTCAATAAGTGGCCCGGGGCCCGGTGGCCTGGTGGCTAAAGTCGCGCTTCACACACGGAGGGTCCGGTTCGTCCCGGCGGTGTGGAAACATTCGACACGTTTCCTTACACCTGTTGTCCTGTTCACCTAGCAGCAAATAGGTACCTGGGTGTTAGTCGACTGGTGTGGGTCGCATCCTGGGGGACAAGATTAAGGACCCCAATGGAAATAAGTTAGTAAGTAAGTAAGTAAGTAAGTTTATTCAGGTATACACAAATACAGTTACATAGAATTATCATACATAGCAGCATATGTTAGGGAACCTAGGATAACCCAAAAAAGTCAGACAGTGACTTATTTCCATTGGGGTCCTTTTACCTTATTATTATAGTATAAAGGTTATAATATTTTCTTATTATTCTACAATGAAGATAACATCTTATTATCATACTAAAAAGACTATCTGCTACACCAAGGTCATTAAGACTATCTACAATACGAGGGTCATTACAAGGAATAAGGTAAAATTTACACGTATGTTAGCTAAAAAATAGAAAACTCATTCCCCTCCCTTTCTGTAGCTACATTCATCAGACACCTTTTGGCACTCTTCTTTGAACTGGTTCACGCTATGACTGGCTTTGACATGTGCGGGTAGTCTGTTCCATTCCTTTATTGCTGTACAATAAAAGGTGTTTGAAGCCTGGCCACTGACTGTGGGTACTACAAAGTGTGCTCTCTCCCCCTAGTACTATGATTGCTTTGGTTCCCAACCTTGACAAAATTGACAGCAAGATATTCTGGACATTGTTTGTGAGCAATTTTATATAAACATGATTTAGCTTCAGTTGTTTTACTCTGTCTTCAACATTCAGCATATCCAACTGCTGTAATTCATCCTGGCCTACATGTTCTCTTGGTCCCAGCCCAGGATGAAATCTTACGATTTTGTTCTGGGTGATTTGCAGTCTATCTTTCAGTTTTTTTGTCAAGGCAGAGTACCAAGAAGAGCAAGCGTAATCCATATGGCATTGTATAAGGGCTAGACATAGGGTCCTGCGAGTCTCAGTAGGTAGACACTGTGCTTGTCTATACAGGAATTCAGTTTGGCATTCGCTTTCTTTACTACACTGTTCCCTATCAATTCTCTGACATGCATGGGTCAAAGGGGATTCCCAAATATTTTGCTGATGAAACCAAAGTGATGGGCTCCCCATTACATTGAACATTAAAATTATTTACCCTTCTCAGTTTATGTTTCGTGCCAAAGAGAATGGCTTCAGTTTTCCCTAGGTGTAATGATAGTTTGTTGTCTACTAACCATTTGCTGCAGACAGTCCTCGATGACGCACTGACTTTCTTGGGTTTATCCTGGGTGGCTAACCCTCCGGGGTTAAAAATCCGAACGAAATCTATCTGTCAGTGGTGGCGGACCTAACGATTAAGGGTTCATTACGGTATAAATGGTGGCGGACCTAACAACTTAAGGGTTCATTACGGTATCAGTGGTGGCAGACCTAAACAACTTAAGGGTTCATTACGGTGTCAGTGGTGGCGGCCCTAACAACAATAACAAGTCTCTGTCTGTCACAGCTGACTTTTCCTGACCTGCTGACGCCCTGGTAAGTTTATTCAGTACAAGTACACATAAATACAGTACATAAATTATCATACATAGCAACATATGTGTAGACTATCCAAGATAACTCAAATATAATTATCATAGTAACATATGTTAATTACCAAGGATAATCTCTTCCAAAAAGCCATGACAAAGTGACATTTCCATTGGGGTCCTGGATATTACATTGTAAATAGAGAAGTTACCTTCAAAATTCATATATAGATACATGTACACAGCAGCACATGTGTAGATTACCTTGAGTTATCCTAGGTAATCTACACATTAAATTCATAAGTAAGTTAGGTACAAGTACACATAAGTACAGTTATATAAGTTATCATACATAATAAAAGTAATAATATCTTTAATTACTACCAGTACATGATACAACTTATACAGACCATAGCTGATATCAATGACATACTACTATATAGAAAGCCGCTTGTTATGCTGAACATTTCCCGCAAATTAGGTCAGTTTTGTCCCCAGGATGCGACCCACACCAGTCCACTAGCTCCCAGGTACTTGTTTTACTGATGGGTGACCATAGACAACTGGTGTAAGGAAACACGCCCAATGTTTCTACTGTCACTGGGAATCGAACCTGGACATTCACTATGTGGAGTGAGAGCTTTAGCCACCAGGCCACAGGGCACCACAGCATATGTATATATTACCCAGTGGCCTGGTGGCTAGAGCTCTCGCTTCACACATGGAGGGCCCGGGTTCGATTCCCAGCGGAGCGGAAACATTTCAACGTGTTTCCTTACACCTGTTCACCTAGCAGCAAATAGGTACCTGGGTGTTAGTCGACTGGTGTGGGTCGCATCCTGGGGAACAAGATTGAGGACCCCAATGGAAATAAGTTAGACAGTCCTCGATGATGCATTGACTTTCTTGGGCTATCCTGGGTGGCTAACAATCCAGGGCTAAAAATCTGAACGAAATCTTATTTTACCTGGGATAACCCCCTAAAAAGTCAGGCAAGTATCTTATTGTATACTCATCAACAGGAGGAAAACCATCAGGACCTCAATTCTAGCACTGTAGAGGGAAATTATGAGGTTCCGGCAGAGGAGTGCTGTGCACGAGCTGATACGTAGAGAATATGGAGTGAAGTGCACATGGGGGTAAGTCCATATATATAGTACTGGAAGAAAGCTTATACCTCTTATTAACTCATTACTGTGTATGTATTGATAATGTCCATGGTGTCTTGGAAATTTTAGACGTTTAATCGAGTAAAACTTTCACCATGAGTGTCTATCTATATCTGTTGATATTAAGATACCTTTCATAACTCTGGAAACAACTTATGTAATTGATGTGGAAAAATAGTAATTCATTTACTGATAGACAGTAAATAGAGAGAGTATATCATTAACTATAACAATTTAGACAAATTCAAATGAGCAATTTTTTTTCTCCAGGGCTAGCATCCAGACTCTTCGATATTCAGCTTTTGGACCAAGAAGAAAATGGAAAAATGGTATTTTCAAACCAAGCAGAACTCTCTTTTTGAACTGAACAGCGACCTCATGTGGATTACAAAATCATTTGATCAGCCAAGGTGTAGGATATCTATAATTTTAAAGATTCTTGTATGAGATGTTGAATGAATAGATTAAAGTTATACAGTATGAGATACAGTATTAGAAGTATTAAGTAATGTATGTTTTTTTTTTTAATTTAAATAATATAAATGTTTATCATTATAATTTACATTGTTGCAGCCTAAACATAATCAGTACTTAAACTCAAGATAAGTCATAATGAACAACTGTCGGTGAATAAAAGAAGAATGGATGAGTACTCAAACTGTGGACCTGTTACATGCCAGGACCATGATTCAAGTACCTGCTCATTCATCTGTTTTTCCTAATCAGTACTGTATAAGTATGTACTGTAATGATGAATGATAAATTCTACTGTATTTAGAAGCAAAAATTATTTTTAAAGTCATTTGCTTTTAATTATGTTTCAGCAGCTATGCTGAAGATTATATCCTCATTCTTTCAACACACTGGACATATCCCACCAAGGCAGGGTGGCCCAGGAAAAAAAAATTAAGCTTCTCTTTTTAAATTTTATTAATATGTACAGGAGAAGAGGTTACTAGGCCCTTTCTCCCAGCATTTTAGTCGCCTCTTACAACACACATGACCTGTGGAGGAAGAATTCTGTTCCACTTCCCCGTGGAGTTAAGATTACATATTTTTCTGTATTTAAATGCATTGTAATACTGCGTGAGAAATATGTGGGAGGATTTTAGGATAAAATTTTGAAAAGATGCATGGGGCAACTTGCTGATTGATGTGAGGTGTATTTTATAAACAGTACAACCCAATACAGTATATGTATATGGAGGTTCTTCTCAGCACATATATGTTGCAATATGATTGATGCAAGGTGGCCAAATTATCATTTATCTTGCTACAGGGTTTGAGTGTATATGAAATTATGAAATGACATGCCATGCAGGTCTGGGTTTAACTTGGGCATAGGGCATTTCACCATCCCATCCAGAAAATGCCACATCCCTCCCATATCACCAAGGTTGCTTGCTTCAGTCCCCTTGTGTATCATTTACCTCCTGTTTAGCAAGCTTTTTATATTTAGTATCAGTCCATCTCACCTTTGTCCAATATTATTAACCATGTCACCCAAGAGAATTGCTAGTTATGCTTATAATGCAAATAAAATATATGAATTTATAATTTGGAAGAAATTATGTCTTACATAGACATTAAAGAGGAGTTCAGTCAGTAGACATGACTGTTACTGGGACAAAACTAGTAATAAACATTTCATAAAAAACATCATTGCTTGACTGATTGTATCAGTTGATTTGCTTGTGTATATCCTAATGAAATTTTTGTTAATATTTCATTATTGACAAGTCAATTTTAAATCATTTTTTTAAAAAACCATGTCTTTGAGAATATTGCACTAATAAATATACATAAATGGTACAAAAAAAAAAAAAATGGTACAGCCTCTCCTCCTAACGATAGAGTTCCGTTCCTAAGACCTCGTCGGTAAATGAATTCATCGTTTAAGTGAGGAGCATACTACAGTGGTAGTGGGTTTGTATCAATCATCTTTGATAATGTTTTAATGTTCCCTTTGTACCATTTATAACATTTCGGGTATTTTTTTAAATGTTTATACATTAGAGCACTGTATTTTGTAATAAACAGAATGAGGAAATCAGTTCTAATGTACATTATTTTTGGTATGTATACTGGTCAGAGAGCTGTCGTAAGCCCGAGTCGTCGGTAAATGAGTACGTTCTAAGTGAGGAGAAAAGAGGTTTTGTGGGCAAGGGGCTTGGATTTCCCAGCAAGCGTGCGTGAGTTTTTAGATAGGAGTGAATGGAGACGAATGGTACTTGGGACTGACGATCTGTTGGGGTGGGAGCGGGGTAATATTTAGTGAAGGGATTCAGGGAAACCAGTTATTTTCATATAGTCGGACTTGAGTCCTGGAATGGGAAGTACAATGCCTGCACTTTAAAGGGGGGGTTTGGGATATTGGCAGTTTGGAGGGATATGTTGTGTATTTTTTATACGTATAATGTTTCCCTAAACTGTTGTATTCTGAGCACCTCTGCAAAAACAGTTCGTTAGTTGTTACCATTTTGTCCTAGGCACATGTCGATTAGACACTAGGCCTGTTGTGTGTGTGTAGGTGTGTAGGTACAGTGATTATGTGTGAGTGTGGTGAAAATGTTGAATGATGATGAAAGCATTTTCTTTTTGGGGATTTTCTTTCTTTTTTGGGTCACCCTGCCTCGGTGGGTCACCCTGCCTCGGTGGGTCTCCCTGCCTCGGTGGGTCTCCCTGCCTCGGTGGGTCACCCTGCCTCAGTAGGTCACCCTGCCTCGGTGGGTCACCCTGCCTCGGTGGGTCACCCTGCCTCGGTGGGTCACCCTGCCTCGGTGGGCCCACCCTGCCTGGGTGGGCACCCTGCCTCGGTGGGTCACCCTGCCTCGGTGGGTCACCCTGCCTCGGTGGGTCACCCTGCCTCGGTGGGTCACCCTGCCTCGGTGGATCACCCTGCCTCGGTGGGTCACCCTGCCTCGGTGGGTCACCCTGCCTCGGTGGGAGACGGCAGACTTGTTGAAAAAAAAAAAATGATAGTTTCCTTATACTATTTAAAATTATTTAAGCAAATAAAAATAGATTTACAGCCTCTCCTCACTTAACAATGGAGCTCCGTTCCTAAAACCACATCAGTAAACAAATTTGTCACTAAGCAAGGAGCATACTATAATGGTAGTAAATTTGTGTCAGCCATCTTTGATATTGTTTTAACCCCTTCAAGGTCCAAGGCCAAAATCTGAAGTGGTGCTCCAGTGTCCAAGAAATTTTGAAAAAAAAAAATTATTTTTTCTTACAGAATTAAAGAGCATATTTTTGTGAAGGTAATAAGACAAAAAAAAAAATTCTGATCAGTACTTACCGAGATACAGTGCCAAGAAGTTTGTCGAAAATGATGTGGTGGCGGCAACATCGACGAATTCCACATACGCGCATTACATTATTTTGCGGTTTTTTGTTTTTTTTTTCTTTTTTTTCCATTTTTTTTTTCTATTCCTACTAACATTTGGGCCTGAGAGACCAATACTGTATATAATGTATATTATATAAACTCACTGTATTAAACACAATAACCGCACTAAAGTTATTATCATATTATTGTTCACCACTGTTGTTTATTACAATAAACATCACAAATCTTGTATAATACTAATGTTCTATCATAGTTTACATATTTACAATCACTGGACATGGTTTTTAGAACTGCTGGAGCTTGTGGAACTCTTGAAAAAAGGGCACCATGCACAGAGGCACCTTACTTTCCTCACACAAAAAACCGAGTGTCTTTGCGTCTTTGTTGCCGTCTTTTTGTTTGTGCACAGACGATGCATCTCTTCTGAGCAAATTTCTTCTGAGTTGAAGGAAGTTGTATTATGAAATGATCACCTTCCCTCCCAAACGCTTGGGGTATATCCTGAGGAATTCGAGGACCGTGTTGTATAGCAGGTGTTTTTTACCTGTACTTCATTATGAGTTGTCTGACAACAGACAAACAAAATTCACCATACGGTGGTCTGTTGCCAGTCTTTATTTGGTACATATTATATGCATTGAGCATTGAAATGTCCATGAGATGGAAGAAAAGTTTCATGTACCACTTGTAACTCTTACGAACACAGTCAACAAAACCAATCTGCATGTCACATTTGTCAACCAAGCGCATGTTTTGTGTATAATCAATCACTGTCACTGGTTTTCGAATACGTTCATTAGTCCTCGATCAACTTTGCCACTGTCTTGCATTTCATTACGGTGAATGGTTGTCAACAGTGTGACATCTCGTTTGTCATGCCACCATAATGCCATGATGTCATTGGGAGTAAACACCTGCATGCATCACCACGAGCACCTGCGTTGAGCCTGGGCATATGTTTACCCATTAGAAAGCACTGTGCCACACACATCTGTCTTGTTCACTCGCATGAAATCACTGAGTAATTTGGGGTTGTGTACCAGTTATCGGGATATAATGTATGCCCTTACCAAGATAAGGTGCCATCATGTTCTCACTACGTCACCTGAGATACCCAATAACATCTTGGTATCTTTCAATGTTTTACTACCCGTGTAAAACAACAATATCCAACACAGGCCACTGTCACAATCACAGAGACAAACAGTTTATTACCAAAGCGTTTCCTCTTGCTCGGTATATACTGCTTGAATGACAGTCTACCTTTGAACAAAATCAAGACTCGTCAATTACAAGATTCTTGAATGGATAAAAGTATATGCTGAATTTTGTTTGAGATACATGAAACATTTCTAATCTTGTATAACCCGTCACTTCTGTCAGGCCTGGTTTTGTCAGAGAGTGCAACATACGTAAGAGTAAGATAAACCTGTTCACTGGTATGATTTCACTGAAGACCGGGTAGAAATTAGCCGATCTGTGGACCAGTATGCTTTTATATTATGCTTATAGACGTGAGGCATAAAACATTATTTGTTTTTCAAAAAGCAAATACATTTTTTGCAACAGTCGTCTCTTTCCACCTGTGTAGTCTTGACTGTGGTGATAAGATCGTATTTGCCATGGTGTACTCAAAATACTTATTACTTTCCCTGACAATAATTTCCATCAATGGGGTGTCAAAGAATAATTCAAAGAATTCCAGTTCATTGGCCGTGGTTCCAAGGGGACAAGTAGGTAGAATTCCACTTTGAGAATCATCAAAGTGGTGAGGCTTGGGAACAAAATTGGGATTTTGGGTGCCCAAACCCACTACGGTTGCCTGGGATACTGGACATCATAGGCTGGTTGTGCGGGTGGTTGTGGTTGTGGTGGGCTGGTGGCTGGCGCTCCGCTTTGTCCTTGAACTGACGAGTCAGCAGTGTGGGTCCCAGCGTGGCCTGGTGAGTCACGCATGGCGGTGCCACTACCATCACCACTAACACCATCCACTGATGCCTGTGGTCTATCCATGCCAAGTGTAGCCACATCATCCTCACTATCACTACCTAAAAAATGGGTTGGGCCACGGGATGTACTCCGGGATTGTACTCCGTCCCCTGGGCACAGCATAGGGTACACTACCCGAGCGCATGCGGCGGCGAACATACCGATGCTTCCCCGGTGAATATGATTCCTCACTATCACTACTCGATTGATCTTTGAGCGCAATAAAATCACAGTCCACGTCACTATCATCATCATTTACTGAAGTCAGAGGCCTGGCCACGCGAAAATATTAGTTTTTCTCTTGCGATGAGGGAAAAACCAACAGTGAGTCACGAGTGCCCACACCAGAAAGGGAGAAGGTTTTAGGATCGTCAGGGTTTTCTGCACTATTATTGATATCCTGGCCATTCTTTTCGGTCACTAACTGATCAAAGCCGTAGAATTCGTCTTCATTTCCACTTCCATCAGTGTCAGAACTCTCAGATAGGAAGAGGAGAGTCCCAATTTTCCGGGGAGTGAGAGCTGACTTGCGACGAGGCATGGTGAACAAGGGTAACTGAGCCGGCGTTCCCACAATGCTATGCGGGCGCCTAGATTTTTTGTTTATGGCGCACACCCACCACGCAGACCCGTTCTCTCACATGTAGGCCTATGAGCGTTTTCGCGCTAAATTTGACGGCGCTAGAATTTTGGCGTAGATCTACGGTTTGGACACTCAACGTAAAGCCGTTGATCTACGGGATGGACCCTGAAAGGGTTAATATCACCTTTGTACCATTTATAACATTTTTAGTATATTTTTAAATGTTTATACAGTAGTGTACTGTATATTGTAATAAACAGAATAGAGAAAATCAGCTCTAATATACATTATTTAGGTATGCATACTGGTCAGAGAGTGCGTCATAAGTCCAAGTCGTTGGTAAACGAGTACATCGCTAAGTGAGGAGAGGCTGTACACTGGGTTTTTAATTTAAAGTTTAATGTATTGTGATTGAAGATTTACATGTAACAATTTTGAACCTGGGTAAATTTCAGATTCTTGTAATGTCATGAAGAGAATATGTGGAGATGGACAAGTTATCTCCCTCTACACATCAGACCTCCACCCTCGATCAAAGGAGGTTGCAATATATGATATCCCTGACCCAAATTTCAAAGCATCTATTCCCCAACAAGGTAATTAAAAAGATATTGATTGATAGTCACAAAAGGATTTGTTAATTGTGTATGTTGTAGTTGAAGATACAGTGGACCCCCCCCCCTAACGATATTATTTCAATCCAGAAGTCTGTTTGGGTGCCATTATAGACCGAATTTGTTCCCATAAGAAATATTGTGAATTAGATTAGTCAGTTTCAGACCCCCAAAAATACACCTACAAAAGCACTTACAAAAATACACTTTCATAATTTTGGGCGAGTTTGGGAGCTGATCATTAGGCGGGGGTCCACTGTATCTGTTTAAACATTTCATTGGCTAAGCAAACAGCTGTTGATGCACAGGCCACCCTAGAGTATATTGCCACTTCGTTGGTCATCTCCCTCTGTTTATTTTTTCCCCCACTCTTGCCTTAGTCTCTGTTCACATGTCCTTCAGTATTTTCATTTCATAATGTTTCATTTTAGTAGGCATGTGGCTCTTTCTTGTTTCCTCTTTATGGAAAAAAGTGAGTGCCTTTTTTTTTATGAAATTAATTAAATACCACATTTAGCTACTGTTTTGGTAACCTCGTTTATTTTTTAGATGGGGGAGGAAAAGGGGGAGGGGCCCTCCCCAATTCTGTAGCAGCAGTTAAGCATACTACACTGCACTACTGGTGCATATTAGAAAAAAAACTAAAAACTTGCCCTTTGTCCTCGATTTTTGACCGGGTTTTCTAAATTATTCAAAAGTCATTTTTATTCTTTTTTTATAGGGGGCCCTTTTGTGTTTTTCATTTGCTTAATAAACAGTAAAAAAAATAAAACCATAAATAAAATTTTTGAAAATGAAGAGCAAAAGGCACAATCCCAGTGACGGGGGAACCCAATAGGGGGGTAACCCCCAAAAGGAGTGAAAAGCTTATGAAAAATTCGAAAAATGGTCCAAGCAGATCGAAATGCCTTCATAAGTTTATCTCCCCTGTGTGGGGGGTTTTTTTGTGTTTTGTAAATGCTTTTCCACTGAACTTCTACTGACTCTATAGCCATAAAAATTTTTTAGTATTTAACAGTGCATTACACTACAGTCCATTGAATATCAGTGCAATCTGCACATGGTTTTAGTTTTTTGGGTATGATCTTTAAAATTTATCTTTGAAAAAATTCTTTTCTCTTAAAAATTGGTTATGAGATTTATGATATTTTAAAAGGAAAATTTTCTTAATTTTTTTTTAAAACAAATGGGCCCTTGTCCACGAGGCGGGGTAAACCCAAAAAAAAAGGGGAAAACCCCAAAAAGAAAAAAACTTTCATCATCATTCAACACTTTCATCTCACTCACACATAATTGCTGTCTTTGCAGAGGCACCCAGATACAACAGTTTAGAAGCATATGTAACATACCCCTCCAAACTGCCAATATCCCAAACCACTCCTTTAAAGTGCAGGCATTGTACTTCCCATTTCCAGGACTCAAGTCCGGCTATATAAAAATAACCGGTTTCATGAATCCCTTCACTAAATATTACCCTGCTCACACTCCAACAGCTCGTCAGGTCCCAAAAACCATTCATCTCCATTAACTCCTATCTAACATGCCCACACATGCTTGCCTGTAAATTTTCTGAATGATTATATAGTGGCATTTTTTCAGAATATCAGCCAGTGATGTTCACTCTGAGGAAAGGAGGTGTGTTGACACGTCACAACCTGGAGAATGGGAAATTTTACAATAGCATATTTCTAAGTCACATGCCGTGTAAGTCTCTAACTGTTGGTTTTCTCTCGGATATCCTCATCGTCAAGTCACCTAAGCTCAAGTTTCATCATCGGTCAGAGTGCTTCTTCCGTTTTCATGCTTTTTGCATGCACCCATTCAAATGTCTGGCAAAATTTGATATTGATGGCTCGGTATTTCCAGGTAATTTGAAGACTTTCTTATTTATTATTATACTACATGACATAAAGGAATAATGGGAAAATTTTCTTAACAGAGCAGTAGATCAACAGAATGAATTAAAGTGCTACAATAATTGTATATTTTAAAAAATTGTATGATGAGCACATTATTATTGAAAATGGAGCACCACAAGCATAGCTCTGATTTGTAGATACAAATAGGTAAATAAAAACGTGTGGTCACAGAGAAACTCGGATAAAGATGGCCTCAGTAGCAGACTGAATATGTATAGCGCTGTACTCCCTATCTCTTCTGTTTTATTTTCTGAGTGTTGGTTAGTTTATGCCATTGAAAATATTTATTACGCTTAATTGTTTTGATTACTGTATACTCTATTAAATATTTTCTTTTTTATCTCTGTATGTTGAAGGTAATAATTATTTTAATTTGTTATAGACTGGGTTATACAAAATGTGAATGCTGAGTGTTGGAGAGTTGTGGTCTTAAAATATAATGAATTAAAACATAAATCATATACTATTTTAGGCATTTGTATGTTGGGGGATGACCTATATTTTCTGACTCCCTAACATGATTGCAAACAAATCGCAGAATGAATGGAGTTCTAACCCATGGCAAGTGAATTCTTTTCATGGCCTGTGAGCTGTAGGACATAGGTTCAAATCCCACCCAGACCATGATCTGTATTTCCTATCAATCCAGACTTATAGTATATCCTGTACACAGGAACTTAATTCATATATTTTATGCCAATGATCAGGGATGTTATTTCTATCTGATAATTTTACCTTCTCAAAAGAGTCTCGTGTAATTTAAGACAACGAGCATAAGCGTCAGTATGGGAAGCTCCGTAATGCTGAGATCCATGAAGATATGCTGATTGTGATGACAGAGAAGAACTTCAGCCTTATATATGACGTGCAGGAAATTATTAAGGTGAGTTGGCCTCATGCAAATGCATGAGGGCCCCGCTTATACAGTAAGTTAGGTCCCGGGCTACCACTGTAAAGCGAAAATTGCTGTAAAGTGAATCGTAGCCTTTTTTCACTTTCAAATGCATATAAAAGCTTGATAACATGTTACACTATCATATATTACAGCTAGGCCTAAAAAATGCATATACAGTACAGTACACACATTATTTACCTTTAATTATTCTCATTCTTAGCCTATAGTGAGAGGTGAATATATTTGTTGTGGGAAGTCTGAATAAATGAAGACTGGGTATGATTGAAAATCGCTGATACAGTGGACCCCCGGTTAACGATATTTTTTCATTCCAGAAATATGTTCAGGTGCTAGTACTGACCGAATTTGTTCCCATAAGGAATATTGTGAAGTAGATTAGTCCATTTCAGACCCCCAAACATACACGTACAAACGCACTTACATAAATACACTTACATAATTGGTCGCATTGGGAGGTGATCGTTAAGCGGGGGTCCACTGCATTAGAAAATCACTGTAAAGCAAACTGCTGTAAAGTGGGGCTCTCCTGTATTAAACCTTGGCAGTGGAAGAGGAAAAAATGGGGGTATGCAAACATTTAACAGAATATTAGGATAAAGGAAGATATACTGTAGAATGATAGGGTGACACCCTGCCTCGGTGGGAGATGGCCAGTGTGTTGAAAAAAAAAATACTGTAGAGATGATTATTTTATAATTAAACCAAAAAGGATAAACAGATAGTAGAGAGGGAATTGCTATGAATGACCCATGTGGGTGTAGCTGTTTTTTAGTGAATACGTTTACTGTAATAATAATAGATTTTTTTTTTTTAACAAGTATGCCGTCTCCCACCGAAGCAGGGTGACCCAAAAAGAAAAAAAATCCCCAAAAAGAAAATACTTTCATCATCATTCAACACTATCACCTCACTCACATAATCACTGTTTTTGCAGAGGTGCTCAGAATACAACAGTTTAGAAGCATATATGTATAAAGATACACAACATATCCCTCCAAACTGCCAATATCCCAAACCCCTCCAATTTGAAAATGAAATATTGGAGAAATAACTGATAATCAAAAGTATAAAAAGAAAATATGGGATTAGGTAACAAGGTGCAGTATACAGGAGTGTTAACATAATGTATGTATACTACCATCAGTTCTGATTGACTGAATTTGATTACATTTCGGACAATCAGACACCATCAGCAAGGTGGCCTGTGGCTTAGTGGTAACACCTTTCACTCAAAACTGAAGGATTCAATTTCAGTCATAAGCGCTGGAGACACTAGAGGTCTCCTTATACCTGTTGCCCCCTGTTTACCTAGCAATTAATAGGTTCCTGGGTGTTAGCTGATGGCTGCTGGTTGCACCCTGGGGGTTAGTAGTATACCTTAGATAGAGCTGAGCTTTGGTAGGATAATAGCTCTAAGCTTGTAAATTCATTCCTCAAAACTTAAAGTAGGTTTAAATATATTACTGTCGCATGATTTTCTTTTAGGATCCCCTTCCAGACAAGAAACTCAAAGGGAAACAAACAGATGCTCTGCATGCTAGTTAGTTAGTTAGTTTAATATGTTTATTATGCACCCCATACCCATCCTGTGGGCGGTAGTCAAAAGATTACAGAGGTACATAATGGGTCCAGGGACTGGGCCTCAAAGTTTTGATAGCTGAGCAAGTTACAGAGGTAATGAATTCACAATTTACAAAGGTAATGAACTCACAATTTACAAAGGTAATGAACTCCAGGTAGGTCTAGTCACAATCATGACAAGTTACAAAGGTATTTACAGATTACAGAGGTACACAATGGGTCCAGGGACCGGGCTCCAAAGTTTTGATGGCTGAACTAGCTGCATGCTAAAGGCTTTCTGCGTGACCCCCTAAATGTCACCCATCTCTGTACAAACATTGTATCATGATGAAATAAAGCATTTGTAATTTTGTAAGAACATGCCAGTTTCTGTGTTTAACCCTTAAACTGTCCAAACGTAGATCTACGTCCGCGTGCGGTGGGCTCCAAACATAGATCTGCTTTTTTTTTTTACATGCTTTCAAATGGGGAAAATCAAGGTCAGAGCACTACGCACGTGAACGTAGATCTACAGTTTGGACAATTTATGGGTTAATGAGAGCTTGAAGGATAATTTTGAAACTATTTTTTAGAGTGAATTAGGTTATTTAAAATTTCTTTTATTTTTTAGAGTGAATTTAGATTATTTAAAATTTCTTTTATTTTTTAGAGAGAATTTAGGTTATTTAAAATTTTTTATTTTTTAGAGAGAATTTAGGTTATTTAAAATTTCTTTTATTTCTTAGTGTGAATTAGGTTATTTAAAATTTCTTTAATGCAGTATACAGGTAATGTAGTTTACATATAATGAGATATTATTAGGCATTAAAGAAAGCCACTAGTATGAGGTGCATTTCAGACAGGCTAATCCAAATGCTTGATGATTACTTAAGAAATAAATGTAGGTTATTATGTAGGAGTTTTTAATTTATTTAACTTGCTCATAGGTTTTGAATGTATGTGAGACCTAACTGAAAAAAGTACAAACATCACCAAATTATAAACAATATTTACACATCTATGCCAGGAGCAAGGGGCTAGTAACCCCTTCTCCCGTATAAATTACTAAATTTAGAAAGAGAAACTTTCGTTTTTCTTTTTGGGCCACCCTGCCGTGGTGGGATACGGCCGGTTTGTTGAAAAAAAAAAAATTCACATCTGATATTTCGTTACATATTCCCAAATTCTCTTCAGGAGAAGATGGTTGGCAATGCTCAGGGTGCTGAAGATTTTGCATCAAGTCATCTAGAACTTGTAGAGAAGGCTCCTCCACTTTTGTTTGTCACACTGGCACATATGGACGTCTTAAGTTTGGGAGCGTGTCCATGGGCATACATACGAGCGGTGTCTGACTCCGTTTTGGAGGTAGGCCAAAAAAAAAAAAAAAAAAGACATTCATTCTGTATTTTTTCTCATTTTTTCTTTAAACACCTCCCCTGCAACACACTGTTAAAAGTAATGTAGTATGATCACCTTTATAGGTCAGGAACATGCAAAGTTCATGGTGTCTTATTTTTGTTTCCATGGTGTCTAATTTTTATGTTTCCAGTGGTTGTAGCATTGATTGTATATCTCCTCTTTTAAATCATTTGATTGATCTGCCATTCTGTTTACAAATACAAACTTTCTAGTATCCTCACAACAACTCTTTTTTTTCTAAGCATGCTTTTATATATAACTACCCATTTGTGATGCTTATTTATAGTAAGAAGCATAGAGCTATATTTATAGTCTTTGGTTGTCTTTACTTATTCATAATGTAATATATTATTTGTTGCACATATAACCCCTTCTGAAACCCATTTCATTCATTTGTTGTTTGAGTTGTTGTGAAGAGTGGATGATCCAGTGTCACAAGGATGCTGGGGAAGATCATATATTATGGATGTGACTGGTGGGATGATGGTTGGTCGAGTTTATGGGTGGGGGCAATGCGGGAATTTGGGGTTAGTAAGAAGAGGTTGATGTGCAGGAGATTGAGATGGGTGAGTTATGTGGCATAACAGTACATTGAAAAGACATGGACCCATCTTCTTTATGTAGGAGCCTCATGAACTTGATAATTTCTCAGAAATTGGTCAGTTATGTTTTGTTTTTTCATTCGCTTAAAATATGTATGTGAGATTGATACATAAATGTTTTGGATAGATTTTACTTGCTCCCCATTTTCATGAATATGAGGTAAGACATATATGATGAACAAGATAATATCTTCCCTTAATATTTATTTTTTTTTTTATTACACACCCCCACCCCCAAGGCAGGGGGGGCCCCAAAAAAAAAATTTACCCTCCACTTTCCCCCTTGCCAATTTTTTTACTACTTTTAAAACAACTTAAAACCCCCCTCAAGGAGGACTGATTCCCCCCTTTGGTAAATCCCCTGCTTTGATCCCTTTTAAAGTTTTTTGCTCACACCCAAAAGCCTCAAGATTAAAAAAATTTTTCCATTAAAAATTTTTTAAAAACCCCCAAAAACCTTTTTAAAAAAAGCCCCCCCCACCCAAAAATCCCA